GTGGCTTGATGGATATGCCTGCTTTTTTAACACAAAACACTTATGACTTGATTATTGAGAACATTCATTCTTGYGTGAAAGTAGCAGCTGAAAAACTGTTTGAAAAAGCCTGTACCGAGGAAAAAAAAGCGACTATATACTATGATGGGAGGTTTAAATAAGCCTGCAATTATATTGTTAGCTATTGAGCACATGTTTGATGCCATTGTTAATACATTGAGAAGGGAATTTTTATTAAGAGTATCATATCTTGAAGTTTATAATGAAAAAGTTAATGATCTCTTAAATAAAAGTGCAACCGATTTAAAATTGCACGAAGATAATGGACAAATAGTTATAAAATGTAAAGAAGAAGTAACTAACAGCCCTGAACATGTTTTATCGATAATGAAAAAAGGAAACAAGAATAGGAGAATAGGAGAAATTGATATGAATGAACGTAGTAGTAGAAGCCATACAATATTTCGCATTACTATAGAAAGCCGGAAAACTGATGCAGAATCAGATGGAGCAATACAAGTTTCTCAATTAAATTTAGCAGATTTTGCTGGTTCGGAAAGAGCAGGTCAAACATGTACTACTGGAGAACGTTTTAAAGAAGGTCGACTTATCAATATGTCTCTTTCTGCATTTGGATTAGTGATAAAGCAATTAAGTGAATCCCAAGATACACAAAAACATGTTAATTTTCGAGATAGTAAATTAACGAGATTGCTACAAAATTCAATAGGTGGAAATGCTAAGACGGCAATGATATGCACTATAACACCTGCCGCATTAGAAGAGTCTTACTATACATTATCATTTGCGTCGCGTGCCAAGAAGGTCGAAAATAAACCACAGATTAATGAAGTTATGTCTGATGCGACTCTTTTAAAGCGTTATGCCAAACAAATATCCAAACTCAACTGTGAGCTAGAGAAAATTAAAAAAGAAACAATTGAAGAAATGGAAAACAGATTGCACGAAAAAGATCGTATTAATCAACTTCTGGAAGACCAAATTTGTATCTGGGAATAATGCAAATATTGAAGACTCGTCGTTTGGGTGTAGATCTAAAAGAAGAAGAACTTGGGCAGGACCTACATTTAAACAAAATGTATCAACTTTTCAACCGTGCCAAGGCTTACCCACGATAAAAGAAATGTCACCGGTAAAGCCTAGTAGAAAAAGTATTATTCAAACTGTCAACTTAATGGATCAATCATTCCAAATAGCTTTCACGGATTTTGAGTTAGAATTAATTAATGATGAAAAAGATAGAGAAGATGATGATTCCATCGATAGCCTCAAAGACGTGTTTATTACAAAAAATAAACATAAACATCGTGTAACATTCATGGACGATATGAGCATTTATAAACCAAATTATGATATTTATGAGAGTACACCTATAAAAAAAGATACATCATATCAGACAAACGATATTGAAGAAGATCAGTCTCATACACCGAAAAAAGTTTTACGCGAAAGAATAACATATTTAGAACAAGAATTTAATAAACTTCGTGAATTCATAACATTAGAAAAACAAGTGTATATTGAGGATCATCAATGTTATTCCGCTAAAAGATAGATGATTTACACGAGCAAAATTCCAAAATGAAAAATGAAAATGAAATCCTTATTCTTAATGAACAACTAGAAATGGAAATAGAAACATTGAAAAATAATATTACAATACAAGAAACGAAACATTATGAATTACTTAGTGAAATTTCTCGTATGGAACATTTATTAAAAGGAAATAACAATGAAAAAGAGATACTTATGAAACAAATTCAATCACTTGAAATGGATTATAATAATATGCAAAAAGAATTTAATAAACAGTCTGAAATAAAAATACAACAAAAGGAAATGGATATAAATAAAAAAGAAGAAATATTAACGGAAAAAGTTATGAACGAGGTTGAATTGGAAATAGAAACGATACGAATCAGAAAAGAATATCAAGAAAAAATAGATAATTTGGTTTCCACTTTGGAAATGTATAAAATAAAAAATTAAGAATTAATGAAAAATTTAGAAAGTTTTGAAAGCAATGAAAAAGATTTAAAGAATATCCTTAACATGAGAACAGATGAATTAACTAAGAGTAATAAGAATTCCGAAAAAATAAGAAATGACATTGAACATCTTACGAATATCAATAATGAATTAAATCGTGAGATGGAAAATAAAAATGCATCTATTGCTAAACTTTCTAYCGAAATAAAAGATCTAGTTGAATTAGTAGAATCGTATAAAAGAGAAAATATGGAGTTGATTGAGAAATTAGAAAGATTGAAAATAAATGAAACAAATTTAAATGTTATGCTCAGTAAGAAAATGGATGAATTTGTGGAGAATAATAAATATATAGAAAAAATGAAAACCGAGGCGGAACATCTAGCGAAGGCTTGTAACAAACTGAATTACGAAATGGAAAATAAAGATGCACGCATTTTAGAAGTTACCAATCTGTTACAAAACAAATCTGACATGTTAGACGAATATAAAATAAAATTAGAAAGCATTACACCGGAATATGATGTTTTAAAGAAACAACTTAAAGAAGAAAAATTAAGCGTACATAGATATAAATCAGAATTGGAAAGTTTGAAAGTAAACAGTGAAACGCATTTGGAAAATTTGAAGGAAACATTAAATATAAAAATTACTAAATATGAAGAACTAAATAAACAGTTTGCAGATTTGAACAGTCAAAATGTTATTCTACGTACAGAATTAGATTCATTGAGAAAACAATATACTGAATTAGAGGAAAAAAATACGAAATTGTAACAAAAACTTAGAAACAGTAATAGTAGAATTAAATAAGAAACGGACATGGAAGAGTTACTCGAACAGAATAAAGCTTTGCAAAATAATTTAGACGGGGCTTATAATTGTATAGCAGAATTGAAGGATAAGAAAAAACATTTATTAGAAGAATATTTAAGTACAAAAGAACGATATGAATCTTTGCTGGAAGAAAATAAAAAAATGATAGAATTATTGTCGGATAAAGAAACAGATTTAAAATATATAAATCATCAATGTGAAGAATTGAAAGGAAAAAATCAAGAATTAGAAGAAGAAAATAAAACATTGAAAAAGAATAATCAAGACTTAAATGAAGAAATAGAGCAAGTAATACGAGAAAACGATGTATTGACGGAAAAGGTATATTCATATTTTGGTGATGATAATCCTAAAAAATTGATAGCCGAAATAAATACCTTAAAGGAAGAAAACCAAAACTTACGAGACAAAATTACAAAATGCACTAGATATGGAATACTTCAACCAAAAGATCAGTTAAAATTTAACGTCGAATCCGGTATAAGCGAAGAGAATAATAATGATAAACTTGCAAATTTGAGGAGACAAATAAAAGAGCTAGAACTTGAATTGGTATCTAAAAATGGTAGGATTGCTGCGTTACAATTACAAGTACAAGGAGAAAGTTTTCCATATCAGGAGAAGTGTAAAGACTTGGAAGAAAATGTTTTGGCTTTTAAAAATAAGAACATTCAACTCGAAGGCGAAATAAAGAAACTTAGATGTGCTATGATTAAAATTAATATGAAAGAATGTTACATGTGCAAAAATCAACATACCAATTTAAAAAATCAATACATTCAAACTATATCAAGCAGTAAGAACTAGTAGCGGTATTGTTGAGAAACATGTACAAATAGAAAAATTAGAAAAAGAAAAAGCTTTTATGAAACAATTGTGTCGCTCTCGGTGTAAGAGAATAAAAGAACTCGAAAGGAAATTAATGGAATTTAACTATCCCCGGGAGTGAGAGCTGCATTCCCCCAGTTCACGACATAGTGTATCCCTGGCCTTAGCCCAGGCAGGGCATACGATCAGGGTGTGCTCCGCATCGTCCACTGTGCAGTCACAGTAAAAGCAACCCGAACCCCCGAGCTTCCCTATCCTACACAGGCACGCGGGAAAGCAGCCGTGGCCGGTCATCAGCTGAGTGGTGTAGAAGGTAGTACTAATTGAGAACGGCCTCCCAAACCACTCATCCAGCCTATCAGCCACGGCAGCCCTCACGCGTACTCGTTAACAGACCCCGCGAGCTCAAGCTCTTCCTCCTTCCATGAGGCTATGGCCCTCCTCCTTGCATTAACCCACAGCACGGCCTTCGCAGCCGGAGGGATTGGGACCTCCGCTGCGTTGGCTGCCGCGTATGCTTCCGCCAGCTGTGGCGCCAAATGATCGAGGGGAATAATTCCCGCAATCATCATAGCCGCATGAAAGAAGGCTGTCATATGCACAGCACACCCTGATCGCAACCTTGCGCTGAAGGCTCCGAACAGCCTGCATTATCTGCGTTATCCGGTCCCGGAGCCTTGCCGATCGGGATCTTCTTGACTGCCCTGCAGACCTCCTCCGGAGTTATCGTCTCCTCATTGGTCTAATCCTGTTTTTCGTTCGGCCTGGATTAGTCCGGCCTGTCCGAGAAAAGGCCCTGTACCACCTGGAGCACAGTCCTTTCCTCTAGCATCTCCATAATAGGGGGCATGCGTGCCTTCACCACCTTGAACGGTTTTCCCCATGGGTCTTGCTCAATCGTAGCAAGAAAGTATCGCCACGCGTTCGTCTTCGCCCTACGGATAGCCTTCACCAGGGACCGTCTAGCGTCTCTCCTGCTGGTGAGGCACTGCGCCACCAACTCACTATTCCCGCCCCTTCTAGCACGAAGGTACCGTTTTCTTGCCGTGGTGGCCTCAGCACGGAGTCGCCTAATGTCCTGGAACCACTACGGCACACCCTGCTTGCTACCCCTAGACCACCTGGTTCTAGGCATAGCAGCCTCGCACGCGCACTTTATAGTATTCGTAAAGGAATTCCGGTATATATATATTCCCATCTATAGAACCGGGCATTAAAATCTCCCGCGACCAGCATGGGGAGAGTGAAATATAAACCCAAGCATCTACCGTAACATTCAATGTCCTCGCTGGGGGAAAGGTAGATGGAAATTACCAGCGAGTCCCCCCACTTAACAGCTACAAAAAACAACCCCTGTCTTACCAGGCTGCAAAGTCTTTCACCTTTGCTCACGAGGATCGCAGCAAGGGGAGTTCCCCCTAGGGACGAGAACCATCTCTCGTCCCCGGTGGGGACCCACCACGGCTCCGCGATAATCGCAACACACGCGTTTGCTTCCTTCATCCGCAAAGATGACCAAAAGGTCTTGGGCGCAGCGGGCATGGTTCAGGTTTATTTGGAGTACAACTACCATCTTCCTCCACTGCTTTCTTTCCCTGTCTTTCCGGTGGTGGCCGCCGCCATGGAGGAGCAGGACGTCGACTATTCGACCCCCATGGCTGGCACCACACGCACGCACATGTCCACTGCCCAAACATCCGTGATGACAGGGCCCACCCAACTGGGACCCTGTGCGACCCCCGGTTGACTGCCAACCCTCACTAAGGCGGGGGCCGTATCCCTTCGCGGCGGCACCATTGGGCACAGCCATGAGCCTGCCCTATGCCCCGGGCACCTCCTTCCTGCCTCCAGTCACACCAGACACTTCACCGGGTTTTTACCCTCCCGCGCAGTATGACCCGACTCCTCACAAACGAAGCAGACGTCCGGCCCCGCCGTTTGGGTTGGGCACGCGACCACCTATGGAACCTTAGTGGCCTCGGGCGAAGAGGTAATACTCTTGCCCCCGACAGGCCAACCGTGATGCGCCCCCTATCCCGGATCGCCTAGCTCATCTTCACAGGGGCAGCTACTGTGACCTCCTCCATTCGGCCTCTCTCAACCTGAATGTCGCCACCCCTAATTTGGTTAGGGTCAATCCCAGGTTTCCCTTGTAACAGTCCCCCTATTCTGAATGGGACCAGCCTCTGTGGCCTAGCGACCTTGGCTCCTGGCAAAGTACGCTTAAGGGCCTCAGCCACCAGATCCGCCTTTTCGTCCGCCTGCCGTCCCCTCACCTGCCATATGAAGGCCTCGTTCAGGCCCTTTCTACACGGCAAGCCCTTGAGGCCTAACTGACCAATGTCGATTTCCACGCTAGACTTTTCCAGAGCCGCCCGATAGGCTCCCTCCCCTTCACAGGTCAGAGAGACCACCGCTGAATCCCTATTCCTGGCTTTCCTCGCAGCTGGTTTCCTTGCGCCGGCCGCACCGCCGACTGCACCTTTCTTACCAGCGCCCTTGCTCGGGATTCTCACCTTAACCTAACTCTCCATCTTGGGTGGAGGAGCCTTACTAAACTCCCGCGCTTCAGGGGTGGATCACGCAGCTGCCCGGAGCGCCTTTCTCCTCTTTCGTCCCAAAACCTTTAACAAATTCCTCTGTTAGGTAAACCGTCTTATTTCGGCCAACGACAGAGCTGTCGAGATCGGCGCGACGACGGTGGCTACGGCTGCTCTAGCCCTCACGTCTGTAGCCGCCTGCGCGTAGGTCCTAACGTCCTTCGTTTTAGGACTCCCACTTACCTCCGCCTGGAGTTCGCAAAGCCTTTGGTCCATGGCCCTTATAGCTTCCGCCAGCTGATGTAGGGCCTGATTATTGCCTTGTTGTACGCTCGGGGGAGCCTGCACCTTTCCCTGGCCCTCGTTCTTAGCTGCACTGACCTTAGCCGCTGGTGGGTAGGGAAGGGGCTGATTAGTCTTCCTCAGCTCCTTTCTCATCTGCATTATTTTCTCTTTGAGGATCATGTTTAAATCCGCTAACGCCTTGTTCTCGATTCTAAGTTGGGCGATAGCAATTGCGTAAGCGAATTCACCGGAGGCACCCAAAACCCTCTGCTCCAGTATTCCGACGACGTCCAGCACCTCTTACCCGAGATGTTATCTCTGATGTTTCCACATCTTTTCTGCTCCGTGTCTACTTCTTTGGTCCTCTCCTGGACCCTCTAAAGTAGTCTCCCTGTCTCCAGGTTCTTTGCCCAGACACTTATTTTGCGGGTGCTCACCGGGCTTGTGAGGTCCACAACGTCCTCCTCCGGTGACGAGGTAACTGGTCTATCTCGTTTTGCCATCGCTGCCGGCGTTCTAGCAGCTCCTCCTGTCAAGCTCCCTACCGCATCTACACCCACGGTCCGCTCCTTCAGACGGACGCCTTTCCTTCCTGGCGCATTGCCGTTCCCGCAGGCCAGGTTGCCTACCTGCGGGAGGTTTCCTGTAACCATAGCTAGAGCCGGGGCTGGGTTACCTACCCTGGACTCCTTGCAGTCGCCAGTTGTCGACGACGAGTGGCCTGCACTACCACCATTTATCACCGCCGTGGTGTGGGTTTCCCTCATACACCGGTGTGATTCCTTGCCTGTATCTGTCATCATAATTTATATGTATTTAAGGGAAGGCCTTAAACAGGAAAAGAACGGAACGAAAGGAAGACTTTAGAGGAGAAAATATAGAGAAAAAGATATAGAAAAGAGCAATAGATAGCAATAGCCATACTAAAAGAAAACGCTCATACCTCATTTATACCCTCTCTTTTAGTCGCCTTTTACGACAAGCAGAGAATACTGTGGGAGTATTCTACATCCCCCTACCCACAGAGGGGCCCAAGCCCTGCACGTCAGCCAGACCCGCTTCCCTACCAAGCCCGACACGCCCCGCTCCTCAGAGTCAATCCTTATTCCGAAGTTCGGATCCAATTTGTCGACTTTCCTTACCTACATTAGTCTATCGACTAGAGGCTCTTTACCTTGGAGACCTGCTGCGGATATGGGTACGAACCGGCGCGACACCACAGGGGGGACCCTGATGCAACCCTGACGCAACCCATAAAATGCTAAAATAGTATAACTCGATTCTAAA